TAGTACGCCACTGGATCACCTCCTGCAGATAGCTGTAATAGGCCACAGGGGTAGTGCCTGGGTGGGACAGGCATGCCCCCCACCGCGATCTGTAGGGGGCTAATGGCTGCAGTTACATGTGTCAGCCAATAGGCTGACACATATTAACACTGCTCACACTGACAGGCTATGGCAGCCTGTCAGTGTGATCAGACTGCAGGCAGACTAAGCAGATTGCGGTCACTGACTGCAGGGGGACTGCCTGGGGGACCAGGCATGTCCCCCAACCGCGATCTGCTGCAGGAGAATGCGGCCAGCTCCATGTGTCAGCCGACTTCAAATCGGCTGACACATGGTAAATACCGATCGCAGTGACAGCCTGTCACTGCAATCAGAAGCTGCAGACCGCGGTCTCCGGGCACAGGGGGGCTGCCTGGGGGGCCAGGCATGCCCCCCGATCGCGATCTGCAGCGGGGTAATGGTGCCAGCCACGTGGGCGGCAAGAATGGCTAGGATGATCTATGCAGCCCGCCGGTGTTTAGGGCCATCCCCTTAAGGACGGCATAGAACGCCCGCCGTCCTTAAGGGGTTAGTTTTCAATGTTTTTTCAAGGAATGGAGACTTCGTGACAGTTTAATGGAACAGGGAAGGGAATTCCACAGGAACGGTGCAGCCCTGGAGAAGTCTTGGAGGTGAGCGCTCGAACAGAAGATGTACGCAGGTCTTCATGCGAGCATGCCAAATTTTTTAAAACTTTAGACTTTAAAACTTCAATATTTGTTTTATAATTTTTTCCCCAATTTATTTTGTATATTTTATTCCTATTTAATATTCGTATTATTAGTATTATGTATACATATAGGGTATCAAAGGAAAGCCCTATTTCTCCTTAATAAAATATGTATATAATATAGATGAGTGCAATTAAACAAAAAAGATGAAATTGCAGCAAAAGTGCAAAAAAGGTCACAAACATGTCTTATTAACAAAATAGCCTTAGTACTAAAGGGGTTAACCACATAGCTCTTTTATACAACCTGGTTGGTAAATAGCAGTCACAAGCTGGTGCTATTAATAACAGCCACTAGACGACTGCATAGGTCCTGACTGTAAACAGAGGCCTGATGGGGTCCCTGTGTGGACCTGGAGCTCTGGCTCTGAATGGGCCCTCCTCGAGTTGGCAGGGAGATCAAAAGATCTCTCTGTACACTCCTAAACTCCCTCACTTCATTGAGGGAAGTTGTGGTCTGTACCAATATCAGGTACAGACCACTTTAAAAGCACCATCCCAGTCCACCCACCCCACCTCAATGACTCAGAGCACGACAGCCAGAGACATGAGCAACAGAACCATGAAGGTGGTCTGTACCGGATACTAGTATGGACAATGGAGCTTATCTACCCGACCACCAGCATGCCTCCCAATATTGGGACAGGGGGAGAGCAGGGGGAAATACGGAGAGAGGGCAGGACTTGCTATTGCATCACTGGTGATGCCCATAATGGGCCCACTCAGAATGTAGGCCACTGAAGGCCTGGCATCCTAGTGCCTGCTGTACAATACTTGCACGTTGCATGATGTACTCACACTGTACTGCCAGAGGACAAAATCAGGATAGTGGCACAAGACCACAAAATTGGGACTGTCCCAATTTGTCAGGCAAGCACCAGGGATCCAGTTCACTCTTTATTGGCCCACCAGGGATCCTGCTCACGCTCCATTGGACCACCAGGGAAAGTAAGCAAGGGGGAGGGGGCAAACATACATGTACACACACAACATTCAGACTCCCCTACAGACACACACAAAAAATGTATCCACCACACACAACCAGCTCACACAGACACATTGTCAGGTCCCCAACGAATACACTCTTCTTCTGCCAATCACCACAAACTACTCACCATCTCTGCCTCCTCTACTGCATCTCCACCTCCTTTATTGACATGGCAACAGTGCGCTGATGTCATGACATGTCATTCAGCGCACACTTGCATTTTGGAGGTGTGGTTAAAACACATAATTAAATGTCAGAACCAATGTTCCTTGTCCTGTTGTGGTTCCTTGCTCCCAGTGGTGACTTGGCTATATCTTTGACTATTCTGACCTGGCTTAGTTTTCTTGCTTGTCTGATTCCTAGATACAGTTGACCTTGGTTCATTTATCTGTTATTCTTTCCTACATGAAGCCCGACCACCTCCAAGGATTGGTAACAAAATATTTTGTCTGATTCCACTGAGTTTTACGCTCTGCATGTTTGGGTTACTAAGCATAACACACATTCACTCTTCCCTCTTACAGCTCTCAGCCTCCTTAGCATCCTTAATCCAGCTCTGCTAACAGCTAGTAGTTTATAACTGCTACAAATTACTAAGAATTTTACAATATTGTTACTAAATTTTTGTAGGCTTTTATTAATTGTAGCTACCACTACAGATAGCAACCACTTGGATATTAGCGGCTTGATGGTAAAACACAGAAACACACGTCTGAGTATGCAAACTTCACTCTGTGGGGCAAATAGTGACAGACTAGTAGCAGATGGCCAGTAAAAAGGTGATGGTTGTAACAATACTTTTTGTTTCAACAGAATATCTAGGGATTTACAGGTCCACCCTATTAATTTATAGGCACATCCTACAAGTAATGGGGTGTGGCCTGTAGCAACTGGGCCGCAATAGCTAATTATTTTAAACCCCCACTAAATTTCTATGCAGTGTTCCGAATATGGGGTAGGTCAGTAACACGTCTGCTCTTATTCACATTAGTATAGTACCCCATAATATTGCCATGGGGTGGGGTATTAACAGTTGAGCAGCTGCTGGCTTCTCCAAAACCTTGGATTTTATACCTCCAAATAGTTACATGGGGGTCGGATTGATTATTTTATGGTTTTTATTTTTACTTTTTTTTGTGACAACCCCAACCCACCAGACACCTAAATCTCATTTTACTTAGGTTTTTTAATTTTTTTTTTTTTACTATTTGCATGCTGTCAGCAGGAAACTAGTCCAGGTTTCAGTAATTTCACCTGCCAGATAGCAAGTTAATTTATTTCCCTGTTTTACCTTTGGGCAAGATCTGACAGAAATCCTGTGTAATTGAGTTTGATGCATGCAAACTAGAGTCCGAATGTTACCTACCAAATAGTGCTGATTTGTTAACTTATTTTGAGTGGCTCTGCCATTAGTAAATATGAGAATATTGAAATCCTGTAACATTACTTTCATTTTAGATGAATAAAGTCATTTTTCATTCTGATCTGGAGTACCAGACCGTTCTGTCTACTTAAAAATATTGATCTGTGACACACCAGTGCCCACTGCTTAATCTCTGATGGCTGTGGGAGTAACAAAAGTCAATGTCAAAATACAATCATATGCAAACATAAGCAATCAGACAAGCAGAAAAATGGCTGGGTCTGAGTCAAGTTTTGGGGGTAGTCAAATAATCGACAATTTCAGATAAGCTAAGGTAAGGGTCAGGGGAAAATGGCTGGATCTGAGTCAAGTTTTGGGGGATGTCAAATAATCGACAATTTCAGATAAGCTAAGGTAAGGGTCAGGGGAAAATGGCTGGATCTGAGTCAAGTTTTGGGGGATGTCAAATAATCAGCAATGTCAGGTAAGGTAGGGATCAGGGAGGGTATAAAAAAAAATTACCAGACCTGGATGACGCATGAAATCAGTCACAAGTAAAATGCTAAAGGTAATGTATACTTATGACCTCCTGTTTTTAATTATTTTTATAAAGATAAAAGTATGCAAAAAAATTAGACGTGATACCTTGTCATGCCAGATTTACATGTCATGTCTTGTAGACACAGAATTCTAAAGTGTCTCCTCTTCCCCCCCTGCCCCCACAAACACACACACACACAAAGAAATAAAGTGAGTTTACTAAATGTATTAACTTGACCAAGCAAACATAAAACCCAAATATTCATTCTTAATAAGCATATATATATATATATATGTATGTGCAAGTTTCTGCTAATGTATTTTGCTTCAAGTGACTGTAGTGAGTGTATGCAGCTGTATAAACGCATGGGTTAAAGATTATGGCCCTGATTTAATAAGCTCTCCAAATGATTCAATACTATAAGAAAAACTTTACAAATGATTTATCTACAGAAATCACTATTAAAGTCTAAGGGAAATCTTGCAGATAAATCATTTGGGAAGCTTATTAAATTGAGGCCATTGTTAGGAGTGGTTAGGGTAAATGGGGGTTAAGGTATGAGAGGGGTTAATGTCAAAGCTAGTTACATCGGTGTTTAGTGTTAAAAGGATTACAAGTTGGGGAGCTATATTTGAGGTATAAAGGTTGTTTTGAATTACTGAGTTTAGGGTTACAGTTGGGTTAAATTAAGTACTGTGTTACTTGGGGTGTTTAGTTTTGAAGAGGAGGAAAAACTAGGATTAAAGGGTCACTCCACTGCCAAAATACAAAATAAATACAGATCAATATTTGATCGATATAAATGAAAACATACATGCATTTGTTTTTTACAAAATTTCTTTGTTGGTGTATCTAATAACAGCTTGTAAAACCTGCAGATCACATGTCTGCAGCCTTTGCAAGCCCTCCCCTTCTAACCCCGCCAAGACTTTCTGTGTTTGTTCAATCACAGACTTCCTAATGCAGCTTAATGAGAAGTCTTTACAAGGCAGGTACCCTTGGCACTATCTGCCTCTTGAGTTTAGCTCTACTGAGCTAACCAAACCAGTAAGTAATATGACCTGTTCCCTGCTTGAAAGCAGTAAAAATATAAGTTTATAAAAGTGCCAATTTCTATTGAAATATGCTTTTTTTGAAAAATGTAAAAGAGAGAACACGCTTTTCACACATAAAGCATTTTAGCAAGCTAAAATTTTCTAGGGTCTGGAGTGTCCCTTTAATGTAAAAAGTTTTGACTGCAAATGTTTAAATGTGGGACTAAGGTATGGATTAGTTTAGGTTTTGTTAGGGTTAATTTAGAACTATGGAAATAGTTTGTTATGGGCATGTGAGGTGCTAAGGGTTATTCTCAAAGTACAATTGGAAAAACAAACAAAAACAAAATAAATCTCCACAGTATCTGTGTGAGTGAAGGTATTAATTAGAGGGGCTATGGTAGCTGTCCTCTTACGGTAGGATGTCAGAGGCCTTATTGACGCATATCTGATCTAGCTTCCACTGAAATTCGCTTAGCCTCAGATCTATAGAGGCTTAAGCGTTTAGAATCCTCTGCACCTTGTCTATGTAAATCAATATAAGCAGCGATATACAGCTATTTAGCCAGGCTGCTTTACATATGTATCTGGGCAATTTGGGCAAGGTGGGGTACTAGTTAGAGTATAGAATTTTGGTTAAGGATTGCCCTCGAAGGCACTTTAGTTTGTACTACATATCCAGATTAGGTATATTTATTATCTCCCTTCCCTGTCTACTTTCTATTGACGTATAGTTACTATTTTAGTAATCTCTTACTACAAGTCCTACATATTGAGAGTATTTAATATCTTTTCTTTGCATATTTATGTGCTATCATTCTTTCATGTAGTACTATAACTACTTTAGGAACTACCATTTCCTCATGTAGTACTAGAACTACTTTAGGTACTACTTTAGGCACTACATGTAGTTAGCAGTATTTTACTCCTTTAAAGTGGAAACTATTTTGTTTATCATTACTTTTTCTATATATGAGGTTTATTTTAAACATTGCGTATCAGGTGTAAATATTACCTATTTTACTGGAGCAATAAAAGTTAAGTTTTAATTAATACCTTCACTTACACAGATAGGACTGTGGAGATTTATTTAGTTTTTGTTTGTTTTTCCAATTAAATTTACCATTAAGGTGTTATCCCCCATTTTTTCACAAATCTCCCAGTATCTATCACTATTCCTACAAGTGGCTCTTCCTTTTCTTTTCTTTTTGTATTTATACTCAAAGAAGTCACCCTCCCATATCTTCTGTAGTCCAGTCAGCCTACTACAATTGATACAAGAGCTGTAGTAGATGTTATACAGTGTGTATCACTCAGTGCTGTCCCCACTCCTCCTGCATTTCCTATTTGAAAGGCTGTTAAGAGTTTGACTGGACTACATAGACATCGGCCAAGGTTCTTAATACCTATCTTATCTCTGTCAGTCCACAACAGCTCAAAAAAGTACATTATAAGTACTGAAAACAGGCACCACTACAGGACATGCTTTTCTAGGCAGGTGCCTACCTGCTTGTGCTTTATTTCATTTGACGATCATGACAACTTAGTCTATGTTCCATATATGGAGGTCCTAGACTTACCCTAAACTCACACGCTTTGCATGGAGGCGCTGAACGTTACCCAAAGAGATGCATTAATTTAATTTATCTCAATGAGGAGATGCTGATTGGTGCAGCACAGCTTTTTGCTGCACGTGCGTATTAGCCTCCCAGTGCTTTCCTATGTGAAAACATTCGATTCGCTAAGATCATCATTTCTGAAGATTTCAGCCATGAAGGCGGAGCGAATCAGATTCTATCAAAATTACGGTAAGTTTGAAATAAATTTTTCTTATTCCTGGCCAATCATGGCAGCATTACTTATGGGTAATACCCAAGCTAGAGGTTTACAGGGAAGAAAATGTTTAATGAGTCAAAGATATGGAAGACAAAACACATCTACCAAAAGAGGTGGGAGGAAAGGCTACATCCAGCTTATAATGTTTTATAAAAGTTATAGGAGAAGACCAGGTTGCTACCCATTGCATGGAACCTCTGCCCAGTTAGCCTATGAAGTAACCAGAGCCCTTATGAAATTAGTTCTTGTTATGTCCGGAGGTGACAAATTATTCAGGTAATAAGCCTTTTGAATAACTACTGCAATCCAGCGCTTTAGTGTAGATAACAAGGCTGCCTCACCATTTCTTGGTCATGAAGGAAGGGCGAATAGTTGATCAGTCTTCCAAAAGGACTTGGAACATGATAAATATTGCATCAAACATTCTCTTACATCTAACTTGTGAAGTCCTATTTCCTCCTCAGATGCTGGATTGGGATAGAAAGAAGGTAAGACCACTTCTTGAGACATGTGAAACTTAAATACCACCTTAGGCAAGAATTCCTGGTAGGTCCTAAGCTTCACCCTGTCATGGAAAATTTGTGTACAGGACTCAGATTTCGGCTATTTTTCTGGCAGAAGTTATAGCAATTAAGAAGAATGTTTTGTAGGTGAGAAGTGTATTATTAAATATATCCAGTGGAGCAAAAGGACTCTCTGTTAGGGTGTTCAATACAACCGGTAGATCCAAGGGAGGAGTACAATTTTTCATGGGAGGTCTGATTCTTAAAGCTGCTTTAAATAATCTAGCAATCAACGGATGTGATGACCAAGAAACGTTACATAGTGCTGCAAATGCTGAGGATTGAACCTTCAAGACCCTTGTCCAGTCCTTCTTAAAAGAATTCTAGGATCTGATAATGAGAAGGATGGAGAAAATCTATGTTTTTACTAGACACCTAGATCTTGAAGGTATTCCAAACACTATGATAGCAATCTGATGTAGGCTTTTTTCTAGATTTTAGAATAGTATTTACAACTGCTTCTGAAAGTTCTAACTGCTGGAATCTCTCCTTTTCAAGAGCCATGGTCGCAAGTTGAGGTGTTTGGGATTGGGGTGAAGAACTGGTCCCTGGCTCAATAAATCCTTTCTTGTTGGAAGCTTCCAGTGCTCTTCCAGACTCATCTTGCTCAATAATGTGAACCATGGCCTCCTTGGCCCTATTGGAATGATGGCTTTTACCGTCCTTGCTTCTAACCACATCTTTCTCAGAAAACGATGAATCAACAGTAGGGGAGGCAAGGCATACCCCAGATTGAAATTCCATCTTAGGTATAGAGCATCTTGACCCACAGATAGATGATCCTGATGCAGAAAGTAGAATTTGGGGACCTGATGATTTTCTGCTGTTGCCATAAGGTCGATATGTAGTACGCCCCAGCGATGACCAATCTTCATGAAAACAGTAGGATGAAGTTTCCACTCTCCTGACTGTATTTATGACCTGCTTAGATAGTCTGAGATTTTGTTCTCTGACCCTGTCAAATAAGCTGCCTTTAGACCCTGAAGATTGACTTCAGCAAGTTTCATCAGGGGCATGGGCGTCCGCAGGAATTTTTCCGGGGGGGGCATAATTGTAATGACATCTATGCTTGGCCC